GTTGTAATTGTGATTTATTGAGGGGCTAAATTACAAAAGTACAACATCTATAAATAAGGGGTTATGGTCCCTAACCTAGGGTTACACTCTCTAATTCTCTTCACCCCCATCTAGAGAGAGAAATTCGGATTTAGAGAAACCCTAAGGTTAGAAGATCATTGAAACCCAAATCAAGATTTCTTCTATGGATTCATGTATAATCTTCCGCACTCTTTTGATTATTGTTAATCTCTTCGAATTAATCATGGCTATATGGTTTTTTTAGATCATAAGTTTTGATTTAGATCTAACAAGTGGTATCAGAGTCACCTTGATTAATTCTTAGGGGTTTAAGTTTTATTGAGTTTTTTTTTGATCTTAAATCCCTGGTTAAAGATTTAGTTTTGTTTTTCGGATGAACAGTAAATTTTTTGTTCGGATGAACAGTAACGAAATGTTTTCAGATGAACAATAAAGTTTTTTCGGATAAACAGTAACTGAAAAATCATCGGTGAATAGTAACTTTTTAGAATTTTTTAGATTTTTCGGCGGTTTTTTCTTGGATCTGGATCAAGAAAACTCTTTTTTCGATTCTAGATCTGTTTTTTGATTTAATGGCGGCGGTTTCAGTTTGAAACCCTAAGGGTTCGTGCGTGAAAACGTGGCGAACATTAAGGAGGTGGTTACCTCAAATTTTGGCGAAGCGGTAAGCTTCAAACGAACATCGCGTTCGTTCAATTTTAACCGAACTTTGCGTTCAAACGAACTTCGCGTTCGTTCTCAAGTGAGCCTCGCGCTCAACGAACTTCACGTTCGTTCTAATGTGAGCCTCGCGCTCAGTTCTAAGGTGAACCTCGCGTTCTGTTCTAAGTCGAACCTCGCGTTCGTGCTTCAGTCGAACCTCGCGTTCGTACTTCAGTCGAAACTCGCGTTCGTACTTAAGTTGAACATTGCGTTCATTTTGTGCTTCAGTCGAACATCGCGTTCGTGCTTCAGTCGAACCTCGCGTTCGTGCTTCAGTCGAACCTCGCGTTCGTGCTTCAGTCGAACCTCGAGTTCGTACTTCAGTCGAAACTCGCGTTCGTACTTAAGTTGAACATTGCGTTCATTTTTTTAACGAACCTCGCGTTCGTTCTCAAGTTGAACCTCACGTTCATTTTTCAAACGAACCTCGCGTTCGTTCTCAGACGAACCTCGTGTTCATGCTTAAGTGAGTCTCGTACTCAATACAGTCGAACCTCGCGTTCGAAGTCAAGCGAACTTCGTGTTCACTATGGTTAAGCCTCAGCTTTTTCATGGGTCCACTTTGGTATACTTAATTTATTCAATTAAGTTATGGGCCCTAATTAAGCTGTGAGACCCCAATTAAGTTTTTTTTGGAAATTCAATTGATTTAAATTAAAACTTTTTAATTTAAATCTAATTTGATTTTTAATCAATTATTTAATTCAAATATTATGACACTAAGGAATTAAGGTTGTCTATCACTCCAATTGATTAATTGAAACAAGAAGTTGCCAAAGTAACCTCTCTTGTGTAGATTGTTCATGAGGAATGTGAGATGTTTGTGTGTATGCTTTCGTGTAAATATTTAATCGGCCCAAAGGAAGGTTAATATTTATTTAGACTGTATACACATCTGCGATGATAAGCGTGTGATAATTATAAGGTTTACATGTGAATAATGAATCGATCCAAAGATAGTTTCATTATTTGACATGAGTTATTGTCAATGTTTGATCATTGCAACAAGGTATCACTTACAAGTTAATATTACTGTCCAAAGACTTGATATTGATGTTGTGCCCGATATCTTGGATGTGGATTGTTATTATTTGAATTTTATTGATTATGGTTATTGATGTGAGTATTTTTGTTTTATTTCAGCTAATGCATCTGCTGCAACAATTTCTGCTAACATTAACTCAATTCCCATGCTAAATGAGACAAATTTTAAGGTTTGGAAAGAGAACATATTAATTGTTCTTGGCTGCATGGATCTTGACTATGCATTAAGAACTGAACAACCCCAACCTCTCAATGCGGATAGCACTCCTGATGCAAAGAAGGAGCATGAGAAGTGGGAGCGTTCAAATCGCATGAGTCTTATGATCATTAAGCGCGGCGTTCCGGAAGCCTTCAGGGGCATAGAATCCGAAGGGATTACTAAGGCTAAAGATTTCCTTGCCGAAATTGAGAATCGTTTTGCGAAAAACGATAAGGTAGAAACAAGCACGCTTTTAGTTTGCTTGATTTCAATGAAGTATAAGGGCAAAGGAAATATTAGGGAGTACATTATGGAAATGTCTCATATTGCTTCAAAGCTTAATGTACTTAAACTCGATCTTTGTGATGAGTTATTAGTGCATCTGGTTCTGTTGTCTCTTCCTGCACAGTTTAATCAATTTAAGGTCAGTTATAACTGTCAAAAGGAGAAATGGACTCTAAATGAGCTCATTTCATACTGTGTGCAAGAAGAAGACAGGTTGAAGCAAGATAAGACAGAAAGTGCTCATTTGGCCTATGCCTCTAAGGATAAGGGCAAGAAAAGGAAGAATGATAAGAAAGCTGCTAAGGGTCCAGTTGAGAAGAAACAACATAAGGATAATCAGGGTTGTTTCTTCTGTAAGAAGCCTGGACATGTAAAGAAGGACTGTACAAAATATCACGCCTGGCGTGAAAATAAGGGTACGTTCCTTACTTTGTTGGGATGTTAGGCAGATACTTAAGCAACCCTGATATGGATCATTGGATAGCAGTCAAAAGGGTTATGAGGTATCTTCAGAAAACAAAAGATTACATGCTCACATACAGAAAATCAGAAAAATTAGAGGTCATTGGGTATTCGGATTCTGATTTTGCTGGATGCCAAGATAGCAGAAAGTCTACATCAGGCTACATTTATATGTTAGCAGGAGGAGCTATATCATGGAAAAGTGTCAAACAAACACTAGTAGCTTCCTCCATTATGGTAGCAGAATTTGTAGCTTGCTATGAGGCATCCAATCAGGGAATATGGCTACGAAATTTTATCACGGGACTGCGCATTTTGAAAAATATTGAAAGACCACTAATATTATATTGTGACAATAAATCTGCAGTAATGTATTCATATTGACATTAAGTCAAAACATATTGACAACAGGAGCTCAACTAAGTCAAAACATATTGACATTAAGTTCCTGGTTGTGAAAGAAAGGGTACAGAGTGGACAGATATCCATAGAGCACATTGGGACAAACTCCATGATAGCTGATCCTCTTACTAAGGGACTGCCACCTAAGGTCTTTCATGAGCATACTGCTCATATGGGTGTGGTATTATTTGAGGATATTATGTTTTAGTGGGAGTTTGTAATTGTGGTGCTTTATGTTTGGTTGTATTGTCTGATCAGAATAAAGTATTCAGTTAAGACACTCTGTTACATTATGTTTGGTTTTGACCTCACTAAGGAGGACCAGTTGAAAATAGACATGTACTGATCACATTGCATGTAATTTTCATGCTGCACATCCATGATTGATCTATGTCGTTTGATTGTATTGGTATATGTGACCATTGATGGGTCGAGTCACGATAAATGTGACGAAGGCCGCTTTGATCCTATATTGATATAGTCAACAGACGAGATTGTTCGGAAATACCTTTTCAGTGATAGCAATTTTTGAGCTCATAAAGTTATACACAATTTAAGGAATCATATGGTGCCCAAGTGGGAGATTGTTGGATTTAATCTAATAAATCTATTTGTGGGCACATATGATTAATCAATGTGTACTGCTATCTTTCAGGATAACCCACTAAAGTGATCAATTAAGTTAGGTTAATGAGTATTTAAATATAATCATGGGGTTATATGTGCAGATACCAGGTTGTAATTGTGATTTATTGAGGGGCTAAATTACAAAAGTACAACATCTATAAATAAGGGGTTATGGTCCCTAACCTAGGGTTACACTCTCTAATTCTCTTCACCCCCCATATAGAGAGAGAAATTCGGATTTAGAGAAACCCTAAGGTTAGAAGATCATTGATCCCAAATCAAGATTTCTTCTATGGATTCAGGTATAATCTTCCGCACTCTTTTGATTATTGTTAATCTCTTCGAATTAATCATGGCTATATGGTTGTTTTAGATCTCAAGTTTTGATTTAGATCTAACATAACGATCGTCCAATCTCTCTTGTCGACGAACTTTGATCTTCTTGCTGTCGATGTCCCGTGGAATGTCATCTCACGTCAAGCCTCTCGTGTTGAGAGCATTTTGTCCTCGAATCCCGTGCCTATTCCTCTAAAATGGGACCCTCCTCTTCATGGTCGCCATGGGGTTGAAGGATTTCCATCCCTAGCTGCTTGTTGTTGATCTGGTCGCCGTTGAGTTCTCCTACATCGAGGCTTTCGGATTCTAATTCTGCATGATTGGTCTTATTAGGCTCAATATTGGGTTTTCTGTTCTTCAGACATTGTTGAATTTGTCACCACATTCCTGACTTTTTAAGGCTCAAGCATCTCGGAACTTTCGGTTCTTCTTATCTAAACTCATGATTCTCATCTTTCTTTGAGTTTGACGGGGGATGCTAAACATAATAAAATGTATATTAAATATTATAGGTCATGATTAATCTGCATTTTTCATATCTCCTTTAATTTAATTGATGGTGCATCTGTCTATATTTGATAGTGCTTGTATATCTCTTTGTTCCCTTCCTAGTGATGTGACTGTTTTAAGCCATCTTTCGTTTATATAAATAAATGTACTACTCATGTGTTAAATGAATTATCAATAAAGTTAAGATCCCTTCTGAATCCGGTTTGTTGGAAGTTGGAGGTATTTTTTGGGGGGGAAATATTCAGGCCGGGTATATTAAAGTTAAAAATCAAAGAGATTGTAGATATGTTAGAATCAATTAAATCAGTGAAATTGTAGGATGTTAAAATTCAGGGTATATTGAAGTTAAAAAAAAAAATCAATGAATTGAAATTGTAGCACGTAAACGCAAGTACCTAGAGGGAAAGAGGAGGATAAGCAATTACGAGCAGGACTACATTTATTCAACTTATCATTGATGGGAAAGGAAGAAGCATTACATAATCCGGCAACAACGGCCAAATGTAAAGATAGACGTTAACATAATAAAAGACCAATGCAGAAATTGCCCTGAACAAGACTATAGCGTAATCATCTGAAAATCTTATTTGCTTTCCAAACTCAAGACACAAAAAGGTTGTATCACCTTCTACCGTCTAAGCTTTGGCTGAGGAAACCACTGCCTTCTCCTTCTCCTTCTCCTTCTCCTCAACCTCAGGCTTCTCCTCCATCTTCTTCAAGTCCTCCTCGAGCTCAAATGCTGAGGTCGGAAAAGTCCGGTACAGTCCAGATGAGATCTTCCCGGTGAGCTTTCCAGTGGGGGGATCCTCGACCGATAGCTCGACCAGTGAGACCCAAATCAGGAGCTCCTTGGTCTTCACCCCCGTCAGCTTCTTGATCTTGCACTTCTCCACGTAGGCAGTGATCTCAGGGGCATACGTGACGAGCTTCCCAATCTTTTCAAAGCAGTGCTCAATCTTCTTCTTCTGTTTGAGCCACACAAACCCAGTCTCCTCCACATACCCAACCTCTATGATGTCCTTCAGCGGGAGGAGGCCCCTTGGCAATCCTACTTCTTGAAGCAAGAACTTGGATTTCTCTTGGCAGATCTCATCTCCGTGGTACACTTCTGCCTTGGCCCTCAGCTCCTCCGTGATCATGGCCATGATATCTTCTCTCTCTCTTTTTTTCTTTTCTTTTTTTTTTTACTCTCTTGCTCTCTTCTTTGGATGGTTGCTCTGTGTGTGTTCAGGAGTAGCATTGATATATAGAGGGAGGGGTTGTGATGGATTGCACCTTGGACTTGAGAGGAAATCTCCAATGCGCCCTTGGACTTGGCAGTATTAATTGTTTTATGCAAGGATTTATAATTGTGTTTTGTAGGGGAGTACGCCTACTTAATGAGTTTCAGCTGCCATGGTCAGTTTTCCCTGTGCAATAAAAACATGTAAACTTTTTTGCTTTTCTTGTAGTATATTCAATGTAGGATACTTGAAGGAGAGGAAGTCTTTTAATGAATCTCTCTTTTCTGACTAAAGATGAAGCCTAAAGATTTCTCGGTTCGTATTTTAACATCCACCACGGTAAGGAGACTCTCCTAGTAATTAAATTTAATTTCATAGGATATCTATCCTAAAACCTTAAACTATTATTTGAGTTATAAAGCATGGCGTAAATTTTTTGGCCGGTTTCTGTTTCTTGGTACAAGGGCAATTTGGGGATTACCTTTTGGCTGCTTTCAATGGTATAGTTGAGAATTTAAGGGAGGTACAGGTGGGAAGAAACCGACCCTCGCTTGTAGAATGACAAATTGATGCTGCCTTCGAATAGAACATTGGTTTCCTCCAAAAAAAAGATAAAATAAAATAAAATAAAGAAATAAAGAATAAAATAAAATAAAATAGCATTAGAAGTAGTAGTCACGAGCCCTTCAAAATATAATGTCGTATGAACTCTTATACACGCCAGTGAATTTAGTTCAACCGCAATATTGACTAACACGGATTGAGCTCAAAATTTTTTCCGTGCGCATGGTGGATTTTCTCTTGCTGGCCCAATGCAAAACTAAATGGTTAGAAAACGAGAAGGTTGATAGATATTTTAGACCTTTCTTAAACTTAATTAAGTGCAACCTATCTGCTTGATGATACTCAACAGACTGTATTTTTTAAGTTTAAAATCTTGCAAGGGTCTAGATGCGGCAATGCTGTATGATTGCTTATCTGATTTGTACACGTCAAGTTCATTGTGCAAGCTTCCTACTTTGACTTGTGCTTTACTTTTATTCCCGTGATGGGTCAATGATAAAAGGAAAATTTTAAGACCAATATTATTGAAGGGGTAGATTGCACTGAACCCCAAGACCTTTCAGCATTTTGTATTAAACCCCCCAATAACTCATTAACTCACGAAACTCTCAATAACTTTTGCAGAAAACCTCCAATATATTTTGGGTAAATTACACAAAACCTCTGATAACTTTCAAAATGCTTTTTATGTGTTTTTATCCTTATTTATGGGGTTTATCTGCAAAATGTAGAAACTTATTAGGGGTCTTTTACAAAACGCAAAAGCTATTGTTGGTTTAGAGACATTTTCAAAGTTCTTGAGGATCTGCTGCAAAATGCTGAAAGTTCTTGAGGGTTGAGTGTAATTTACCCTTATTAAAATGTATAACTTATGTTTGATTTCGAACTTTATTATCATTTCATCAAAAGCCTAATGAATTTCACTTCATAAAATATTTGAAAATAGAAGAATACAACTTTTTGTTAGGACTACTCAAAAAGTAGTGATAAATATACTACCTTTTTTTCTATTATTTCAGCATTATATAAGAAATGAAAGAATGAGACTATGATGACTTATCATTTTTTTTACACCTTTCAAGAAAGAATTTTACTCTTTTGTTTCATTTAGTGCCAAAGTAATAGCAACATTGCAATACACTTATTTTTTCCCTACACTGAAAATGTGATAGATGTGCAGTGTTGTTGCCATAGGATAAATGCATAAAGAGTGATGTTAGACTTATTTTTTTTTTTGGTTATTTTGATATTAGCCCCCCACATCTTTAGTATTTTGATATTATCCCCCTAAATCTTGAAAATTGATTTCATGGGCACCCAAATCTTCAATATTTTGGATGACTGACAGGCGGCTGTGGACTCAAGCCATCAATCCAATTAGCCCCCCGAAATCTTTTGAAAATGATGTCAAGCCATCCAAGTCCTATTTGCATATTGATCAATATGCGCGACCCCCCACGCCACCCCCCTCCCCCCCCACACCACCACACCACACACCGACCGACAAAAAAGGCCGGCAAAAACGCCATAAATGTCAAAAATCTATTTTAAAGAGAGGGGATCCCTCTCACATAAATCCAAACTCATTAACCGCTTTAACTTATACCCGTTAAGCCCCCTAAATTTGTGTAATAATACTCTAATCTAAACTCATTCCCACTTCATCTTTTTAAACATCTTCCCTACCAACTATCTTTAGCTTTAATCCTAAATTTGCAACAGATAGTTCCTGTCGGTGTAGACATTAGAGAAGATAAAGTAGCAAATGGGTTTCACTTAAGGTTTTATTAAATGGATTTGTAGATATTAACATGTGCATAAGTTAAAGTGGTTAATGTGTTTGAGTTTGTTTGAGAGGGGTATAACTGGCAGATCGACAAAAAAAACTTATAGTAAACGGAATATATATTCTCCCCATTTTACTAGATTTTAACTGGGGGAACATATTTGCCACATACTAAAAATAGGATTTGGGGGGGTCTAAGATCAAATTTCAGAAGATTGGGGGGGGGGGGGGGGTATATTAAAATATTAAATATGTGGGGGCCTAATAGAGAAATAACCCTTTTTTTGCCCCCACCGAAAAAGGTAGAAGCCAGGTTGACCGCTAAATGCAAACTACTTGACATATAATCAGTTTCTTGACATGCATAGCGGCATATGTACTTGGGCAATTCATGATAAAAAATATTATGATTTGGTACTTCATCTTTTTCCTTGTTAATTTTATTTATCTTGGATTAAAAAATGGTGATGATTCCAACCTCATTAATAATTAAAAAAGGACAAATTTTCAAAACCACCCTCTTTAGCTATTTATTTGCAAAAAACGACCCCTTTTGAAAATAATTACAAAAACCGACCTGTTTTCAGCCCAGCGCTGAAAACAGGTCGGTTTTTGTAAAAAGTTTTCTGAAACATCACGGGAGTTCAACTCCCGTGAAGTTTATCGAGAAATTAAACTTCACGGGAGTTGAACTCCCGTGAAGCTTAATTTGTTGTTAAATCTTCACGGGAGTTCAACTCCCGTGAAGATTTGGCCAAGATACAGCGCCAGAGCTGCTCGCTGGAAGTTGGGACTGCAACTTCATGGGAGTTGAACTCCCATGAAGTTGCAGTCCCAACTTCCAGAGAG